AAAAAAAAAAAAGAAAGGAAGAAAGTGCTATTCACTACAGAAGATCAATGTGGAAAACGGGAAAAGAAGAAAATAGAAATGAATCAACAGTTGTAATTCTTTGGCTCCGCCTACTCTCTTGGTTCCTGCTTTATTTTCCTCAAAATTTGTATCCACACTGGAAGCCAACTTGCTACTTTCTTTTCTTTTCTTTTTTTTTTTTTTAACATTTATTTATTTTTGAGACAGAGAGAGACAGAGCATGAACGGGGGAGGGTCAGAGAGAGGGAGACACAGAATCTGAAACAGGCTCCAGGCTCTGAGCTGTCAGCACAGAGCCCGACGTGGGGCTCGAACTCATGGACCGCGAGATCATGACCTGAGCTGAAGTCGGCCGCTCAACCGACTGAGCCACCCAGGCGCCCCCCAACTTGCTAATTTCTTTCTGCACTTGCTTGCCTCTCTTCCCCAGGCTAGAGGGTAAGCTCCACAGGAGCAGGGACCTCACCACCTTCTATCTCTAAGTCAGTGCCTACCACAAAGGTGGTAGTCAATAAAGGTGAATTGACTGAAAACATAATCCTGCCACTGGATTAGTCACTCAGGTCTGCCTCAAATCCTTGAACCGATTTCCTGCAGCAGGGGGTTTCTAAAGTTCACCCCAAACAGCCCCTGGTGCTGAGAGGTGATTTTAAAGAGATCCAGAGAGGGGATCTGGATGGGGATCAGGCAAATTCCACCAGGGGATGGTATTTCATCCTGAGCTGGCTGTATACAGACAGTTCCCAGTGGGTGGAAATGCAGATGGGCAGGTGCCTCAGCCTGGGCAAAGCACATTTGTATTCGTTCTCTAGGGCTGTCATTAACCAAATACCACAAACTGAGTGGTCAACACAACAGAAATTTATTGCCTCACAGTTCTGGAGTCTAGATGTCCAAGATCAATGTGCTGGTAGGGCCATGCTCCCTCTGAAGGCTCTGGGGAAGGGTCTCACCTCTCTCTCAGCTTCTGGTAGTTCCTGGCTGCTGACATCATGCCTCCAGTCTTTACCCAGCTGCGTTCCTGTGTGCATGTGTATTTCATGTCCAGATTCCCACTCTCCCTTTTTATAAGGATCCCAGTCATTACAGATCATGGCCCACCCCAATGATTGCCTTTTAATGTAATTACCTTTGTTAGTATGCTGTCTTCAAACAAGATCGCATTCTGGGGGTGCCTGGGTGGCTCTGTCCGCTGAGCATCCAGCTTGGGCTCAGGTCATGATCTCATGGGTTGTGACTTCGAGCCCCCGCATCGGGCTTTCTGCTGTCAGCACAGAGCCCACTTCGGATCCTCTGTCTCCCTCTCTCTCTGCCCCTCCCCCACTCACTCTCTTTCTCTCAAAAATAAACATTAAAAAAATCATATTCTGAGATACTGGGGGTTAGGGCTTCAGCATATCTCAACCAATAACAACATTCGACCCATAACAACATTCCAGGACACAGGAGGGGTGCTAGAGAAAAGCCCAAGCGGCACAGTGTTGGCTGCAGCATAGAGCCCATGAAGTGAGTCGTGTACAGTAACGCCAGAGCAGGAGTCGGAGACAAAGAATGCGAGGCTAGTTCCATATTGATTAGGTGGTCAGAGCACGTATTGATCAGAAATGTGCCAGGCCCTGTGAGATGGGAATCATTGGTGCGCTGAAAGGGAAAGATTCAGCCTCGAGGAGCTGACATTCATGTGAGGAATTCAGACACTGAGACGATTTGTCCCACAAATAAATGTGATCACACATCTAGATTAAATAGATTACAGCAGAGTTAGGTGGAGGAGGGAGAGGTACATAGGTCTCTGATAGTTTATAACAGTGGCCCTGGCCAAGTTACTGACAAAGTGATATGTTGACAATGATGTGAAGGCTGAGCAGGAGTTTACCAGGGAAAAGGTAAGAGGAATATTCCTGGCAAAGGGCAAGCTTGTGCAAAGGCCCTGGGGGCTGAAGGGAGCATGGCCCATTTGGGGGACATGGAGATGCCAGTGTGGCTAGAGATTAGACAGTAGGGGGGGTGTAGGCGGGCAGAACCTCCTAACCCAGTAAGGACCTAGGCCTCTATCCTGGGAATGAGAAGGATTTGAAAGTTTTAGGCAAGGGAGGATGGGACCAGATTTACCTCTCTGAAAGACCACTGGGCAACTACTGACGTTTTCTGAGCTAGAGGGTGTTAGCCATCAAGCTAGTATTTTTCCAGAGGTTCTTGCATGTTGTTCTAGAGCAGGGGTTTGCCTTGGGGTCCATGGATTCCCTAGTGCCCATGGGTATATTTCAGGCGGGCCCTGAACTGAACGAGGTCACTCATTTTTCATCAGCCTCTAACTAAAATGTCCTGTATGAATTCCTTCCATTATGAATCAAGATAACAAAACATACTAATAATATCATAGTACCTGCAGTTTTTCCATCAGTAGAAATCAGAGATTCTCATGATATACTGCAATTATATTATAGTTGCTACAGTTGTTATGAAATATTTATGTTCATCAGTACTATGAAACCATACTTATTAGACATTAATGAGTTTATAAAGAATCACATATATGGCTAGATCTTAAATTATTTTAATGTTCTGATAACTGTATTCTCACATAGCTAGGTTCCTTTGTAATCCTTTGTATTTTATTTTATGCACTCAGAAACACAATCCTGAGCAGTGTCCCAGGTTTCCCCAGAACGACTAGGGGGCACAAGAAATACTGAGAACCCATGGTTTAACTTTAGTCTGTAACCACTCAGACCTAACTTATTTAGGCACAAACAAGACAAAAGAGAAATAAATGGCTCAGTAACAGAGAAGTCCATGGCCCCATAAATTCACTGAGAATGTCCTCAGCAGTCCATTTCTCTCTGTCTCCGGACTTCTGCTCGCCTTTGGATTTCTCTCTGTCTCCGGACTTCTGCTCGCCTTTGGATCATCTCGTTCTCAGGCACCCTGCCCATCCTGCACCTGCCACGACCTGGCAGCGCTGGACTTAAACCGCCCTTTGCACCAGAAGTCTGAAAGTAAAGAGAAGGGCTATTTCCCAGGAGCTTTTGTGAAACTCTCAGAGATGGGGCTCATTGGCTGGCATGGGTCATGTGTCTAAGAAGCAATTAGAATAGTGAGGAAGATTGGCCTCACCTCTGATTGGCCTGTTTGGGTCATGTGCCCGTCCTGAAGGATGAAGTATTCTGATTGGCCTATCTGGGTCATGTGCCCATCTGAGGGCTGAGGCATCTCATTGGCTTACTTGGGTCATGTGCCCATCCTGGGCGATGAGGTATTCTGATTGGCCTACCTGCGTCATGTGGCCATCTTGGAATCAAGCGGTGGGCGGGTGGCCTGTCAGTACGTGACTGGAGGGAGAGCCCACAGGGCAGGTGAAGGCGCCCTGCCCGCTTTGCCCCAGGCAGTCGGTTATAAACGCGATTCGTGTCGCATCCCTGTGTAGGGGGAGCAGGGAACGGTTTGGCACTGCTCGCTGATCCGCGAGCGTCTCAGGCTGGCTTAGGCTCCACAGGGTCTCGGGGCTTAATGGCTCCGCGGTTCCTGCAGTGAAGCAGGCCTCCTGGCCAGGAAGACAGCCGCCAGTGCCCCTCCGGCACTTGCTGTGTGCTAAGCACACGTTAATTTTCACAACCCTTGTAACCCGCTCAACAACACTGACAGGTTGAACTTAACAGTGCCCGTGAGGTGGAACCCCAGGCCCAGGGCTTCTCCCAGCTGCCAGGGGACCTTGGGGCAGGTCGGCCCTCCTCTGCGCCAGCGCTTCCGTCTGTAACGCCAGGGGCGGACTGACATGTTTGGGCCTAAGGGGTGGAACTGGCGGTGGCTTTAGGGAGGAGCAGTAACCGGTGGGGAGGTGAGGCCTCTGCCCTGGCGGCCTGGCCTGGAGCTTCTCTGCTTCTTTCCCCAGGGCTGCCGTGCCCCCAGGGGTCACCTGACTGCAGGAAGCAGTGTGAGCCCGACTACTACCTGAACAGGGACGGCCGCTGCACGGCCTGTGTGAGCTGTGCTCGAGGTAAGGGCTGTGTTCTCC